AAACCTGATATTATTAGTTTTACATTATTATTTGCGCCTACTGTTTGCATTCCATGCAGAGATTCTATCATTGACTATTAGCTGACTGCTACGAGAGAGAAATAAAAAAGTAGTAGAAAAAATGGATAGTGGGGACTGGGGATGGCTATGACTTTGATAAAAGATATGCAGAATAGAAAAAGATGTATTTGGAGGTTAGATTAGATTCATTCTAGTGCCTTCGAGAAAGCTAGAAACTATATAGGTTGGCTCTTCACGCTAAAGTCAACTTGAAATATGCATAAGATAAATGGTTACGTCTCCTGCTCACCGAAGAAGTTGTCTTTTTCTTGAACCCCGGTCATGAATAGTACTGTCCACTTTAAAATGGGGGAGAGGACAGATTAGTCTATTAATTATTTATTCATTTTTCAATCTGGTCCTTTAAAAACTAAAAAAAATCCTATACTTGAAATATTCTTCATTACTTAATGCTAGTATATCATCTAACTTAGTATATAAATGATGTATATCATCTAACTAATGAGTTTATGAACCAAATCGACAAACAGAAATCCAAGAGAACTCTTTAAAAAATAAACACATAATATTCGATTAACAAACTATAACTTTTGATCTGAGTATCCTATTTATTTAGAAGTCCATATTGTGATTGATCGCCACCTATAGCTATTAATTAGATGTCTCGTTGAGATCAAAATCCACTTCAACAATCCACTTTTGAATAGTTTGTAATGCAAACCTATAGAACTAGCTCGATTTTGCTTCAATTTAGGAATCAAGACTTTTTCATTTACTCTTTTCCTAAATTTTATATTTGAATCATTAATTTAGGATTTTTAGTTTAGTTCTTGATCAACGAAGGTGAATTAGTTATATTGTTTGTAAGTTTTTTGCCATCATTATTGTATTATTCGGGAATATTAAAAAACTTATGAGTTTTTCATAGATTAATGTGTTTTTGAATACTAAGGTGATGTTCGATAAAATCGAAAATTAAATGCTAAATTTGTTAAGTATTGAATTCTAAGTACTGAATAATTTTTAACTATTGGATTATTTAGATTATCAAATAATTTTTTTTATATTAAGTACTATGACTTAATTTTTTAACTACTTATATAGATTATCAAACACCTCCCGAATTATCTCATATTAATATTCTATTGGTGTGCCATTAAAAGAACACAAACGGATTTTTGAATTAAAAAAAAATATATATATATATATTGATAAAACGAATTAGACAAGACAAAGGCTACAACTCTAGTTATATCGTATTCTTTTTCATATATGCAAAACTTTGGACGCTAATTGTTTCCAAATACTAAAACAAGTGATTTGAAAAAAAATGAGTTGTAATTTGATAGTTTGGTGCTATAAAAATGGGATAACCATACAGGAGAAAAAGACGTCTCTCGAAAAATTTGATAGTTGTGAAATGTCCGATAGTCCGGGACAACATTACTCGGTAATTTTGACTCCATATACGAAAGTAAGTACCGAGTGAAGTTGGAGGACTAATTTATCATTTTCCTTTCTTACTCTTTTTTTTTTTTTTTTAATGTGTGTAATTTTCCTTTTCGAATAATTAAGTTCGATTTTTTGCTAGTGCCATGTTGAAGTAGGACATTGTGTTGGTTGGCACTGCCTACCGAAGTCAACTTCACTTTCGCATCCATGTACAAAACTAGTAGCCTACTTGTAGTTTTTTTTCTATTTAATAATTGAGTTCGTTAAAGCAACTATGACTCCATGATCTCCTTATAATATACGACCTGTTTTGTGTTTGGGCTTGTCGGTATAAGTACAGGAACAGTTATTTTTAATATTATTAATTTAATGGTTTTGATGATAATATTATTATAAGAGGCTATTAAAACACTTGTTCCAATATCCAAGGAAATGACCTCCAGTGAAAATTACCATGTGCGGTGAAGACAAAGGGAAAAGGCAATAAAACCCTTAAGACAGAAGAGGAGTTCACTGGCAGTCGCAGTATTTTTCCCCTCTCTCCATTTTTTTTCCCTTAAAAGAAAAAATATATCAAATTAATTGAGAGAAACCTATCTAGGTCTTTTAGATACCAAGAAAGAAGTTAAAAAATTTTTGGGTTTCAATAAATGTTTGTTCGGGTCCCTTTAAAATGCTTCGATTAATGGAGTGGTAATGGTGCTAGTAATTAAGTTGGTCATGATTCTAATTCCAAAGACGAGAAAACAGCATTTTGAATGCTAAATTTATAATTTTTTTTCTATTTCATTATTTAAATTTTAACTTTTTTTTTAATATAATGAATATTTACGATCATTTGAAACTAAAAAATATTATTATTTTTAAAATGAATTGTCGTATAATAATTTTTAACTGATATGTATATAAAAGTAGATCCTATTTAGATTATTAAAAAAATACAATTTAAGTGTTTAATTTTTTTTTTGAATGTACAATATTTTTTTTCATTTGAGTTCTCTTTGTCATCTAAAAGAAAAAAAAATATTGACATAAATAGTATTTAATAACACGTGACAATTTTTAACTAAACATCACAAAAAATAGAGGGCAAGTTGAAGAATAAAATATCCATTCAATTTGTCAACATATATAGAATTGTTTTTAATCGAACTTGACAAAAAATACTTAAATTACAGTTTTCTATTGTAAAGATCCATTCAATTTGTCAACCATGAAAAAACAGAAAAATAACCATCAAGTAAATAAATAAGTAATCGATCCACGTTGTGATGATTAAGCAGAGTTATATATATATAGAATCGAAAGGAATTCATTAAATAAGCTTTTGGTGGAGATAAGATATGGTAGTCTTGTACAGATAGTTATGTACGATCATGTGATCTCTTGATTAGTACCATTCGTACGTTGTTAGATGACTAAAATCCATTGGCTCATATCGGTGGTTTTTAAATACCCTTTGTAGTACTAGCCATGTATTCTTCGCATACATTATATATGCTTCCATTGCATTAAAACAATTATGTTTTTGTTTGCTGCATTTGCTTACGGCCGGATATATATGCTCACCGTTTCTCTTACCGGAACACGATTTGTTCAAGAATTTTTCCAGCCCAAACACAACTATTTTAGCGACTTCCTTGCTATGCACACAACAACTATGCATATATGAACGTTTTTTATTCACGATATTTTCTAACTATAAATACAATTGTTTTGGGAAAAAAATATTAATTTATGAAACAGTACACAGAATATTCTTCTAATCAATACAAATATATTTATCATCATTAACGGTGATGGATGAAAACCAATAAAAGAACAAGTTACAGTTAATTAAATAAAAAAATACAGGAATTCAAAATTAGGTTTTTAACTAAATGCTAGGATTAATTTAATTACTAATTATTTCATTAAGAATGCAAGGAATAAATAATAATTTTAAAAAAAATCAATTGCAATTAATGTTTCCAAACAAATGAAAAATCTAATTAGACAAAACTAAGACCTCGTCCTTTATTTTTAGAAAAATGCTTGATGATACTATAGTGATAAACAACATTTCTAAAAATAAAAAGTTTTTAAGAGTAAATTTGAAAAATGAAAAAATTAAATGACATAATACCACCTAAAATTAAATACCCAATTTTTTTTTCTTTCTTTTATTTTTTTTAAAATATTATCTTTATAAAATTACGATGATTTTTTTTATACATCACTTATATCATATGACACTATTCTTATTTTTATTATATATATAAATAGATATATGTAGATGTGTGTGTGCATGCACACACTTGTTTGATTTTGCATGTGGAAACTTTTTGAGACTTCAGTCCTCCATTACCGAGAACAGTGAGACATTTTTTGTCCACGTTCAAGGCATCATAGTTGTGGTCCAATTTGCAACAAGTGGCAAGGACGAATAAAAAATATAAATGTCACCATATTTTCCAAGCACGTTAAAGTCAGCAATGCTATTATTTTTTGAGAAAGCCAAGAACCTTAGTTGGGTGTAGTTCATGGCAACTGAACGCTTGAAGTTGATACCACTACAGGCATAAAGGTTTGCCATATCTGTAATCAACCCATATATTCAACTCCACTACGCCCACATCTTTAACATTTCAACATTCAACTCCACTGAGCCCGAACAGTAACATTCAAACATTTTATAGTCTCATCTAAAAATCCACCTTTCTAGATAGAAAACGAACTTAATCTTAAAAAGTTATGGTCAGCATCATACAATGAACTTCCATTTCGTTAATACATAAAATATAATTGACACTCACATACTTGTTCAGTATGATTTGTATTCTAAAAGTCTAGATGGATCTTTTGTCGTTGTTTCAGTTCAGTATCCATTAGATTAATTAATTATATCATCATAGATGTATTCCGTTTATCTAACAGATCACCATTTATTATACGTGTAAGGATACTGTGATTGAGTTTATAGTTGAAGTTATTCAAATATATGCTGTTTCCATCATAGTAAATTTCTTCGTAGGTTCTGAAATTAATCAAGGAGCTAGTTGAAGTCAACCGAGTGCGTTTTATAGCCATGTGGCAAAGGCCAGCTGCAACATCAATACATGTTTTGGCCATAAATCATGCAGCGAAAAATGTTAACCTGGGATAAGTTCATGAACAATATATTTAATTTGCTTATTTGACTTGTGATCAATATAGTAGTAGTAATGGACCTTCTAGGGCAAAGTTTATATGGGAGAAATCAAACATAGCCAAAAATGCTTGAACATGGGTGACATAGATTGAAATGTCTTTTAGCCTATCCGCGCGCCAGAACAGTTGACCCCAAAGCAGTTCGATATGCCTTCAACTAGCCATAGTAAGACAAAATTCAATAACTAATTAGTACTACAGAATTATTTCTTCCATTTGAAATAAAATTAATTTCTACCGTTAGACTAGGTTATAATTGGATCAGTTGATGATAACTGTTTCCATATATGCAGAAGTAGAGAGAAAGCAGGGTTAATTTCAAGATCTCAGAAGCAGAGATGGGTGTTAACGTTTCTTGGAGAATTATCCTTTGGGCTCTACTAGTTTTACTGGTAATCTTCATCTCCCCTTCTTGGAGTCATACTTGCATTTTTAATGTATTGTTGACAAAATTTCGTGCTTCTTAATATTTGGTTTTTCTGATTCTAATAATTCTAATAATTTGTTCTTATTGCAGTTTGCTAAAGACAGTAATGCAAGGAAGATAACTCACATAAGAGGGGAAGTACTGGATGGTGATACAAATGGTCTGCAACACAATCGAGAAATGCCTGATTTGCGACAACTTTCCAAGGATGATCATCAGCTAATCAAGCATGGTAAGGATGATGATCATCAAAAGCATGCACATGCTCATCTATCATCTCATATGGATCACATGGACCCTTCAGACAAGATTTTCTTCACCATGAAAGATCTAAAAGTTGGAAAAACACTTCCAATTTACTTCTCCTATAGAGACCCTTCTACTTCTCCTTATCTGATAGCTAGAGAAGAAGCCAATTCAATTCCTTTCACTTTAGCAAAATTACCGTACCTTCTTGAATTTTTCTCTTTGTCCAAAGAATCTCCTCAAGCCAAAGCCATGGAATATACACTAGGACAGTGTGAACTTGAACCCATGGAAGGAGAGACCAAGTTCTGTGCTACTTCCTTAGAATCCATGCTTGATTTTGCACAGACCACCTTTGGATTGGATACCAAAGTAAAAGCTTTGACTACCAACCATCTTAGAAAGCCAGTTCCAGCTTTAAAAAACTACACCATTTTGGAAGATCCTAAAGAGATCTTGGCACCAAAAATGATAGGATGTCATACTATGCCTTACCCTTATGTAGTTTACTATTGCCATAGCCAAGAAGGTGGGAACAAGCTATTTGAGATTTCACTTGGAAGTGAACATGGAGATAGAGTCCAAGCTACCGGTGTTTGCCACATGGACACCTCTCAATGGGATCCAGATAACCCATCGTTTCGTGTGCTGAAGATAAAGCCTGGAACTGCCCCTGTGTGCCATTTTTTTCCAGCAGATAACATAGTTTGGGTGCCTTTAATTTGATTTCATATATAAATACAGTAGTAATAGGTATGGTTGTGATTGTAAACAATAAGTCCTGAGACTTAAAATCCAGTGTTGTATGATATGCTTGTCTGTAAAATAGTGCTTGTTGATGTAGTCATGTTCACCAATGCTCCCCGCTAAAAGGATAATAAAAAATACTGGTGATTCTACACCTGTCTCTTTGGAATGTTTTGGGAATGCTAGTGTTCTAGGCTGACAGGCAAAAGGAATGCTAGTGTTTTAGGATAACAGGCAAAAAGGCAAGATCTTTAATTACACTATTAGAACCTGGCTGCGAAAATCATTTTGGGCATGATTGGATTTCATGGAAATCTAGCCAGAACTGACCAGATTTCTAAGAGTCACAGCTTAAAATAATTCACTCATCCAATCCAAGTTTTTCCTCAGGTTTAACAAAAGGCAATGAAGACCGCACTGTCATATAAATGCATAATATAACATTACTCTGCTTGCATGTTTATACTGAAAGGTCATGACTCCAAGATGCTTGTTTTCAACCACAAATAGCACAAGATATGCTGACATTACAACAGGATGCTTAAAAAACTGGTCCAGTAATGTTTACCTCGTAATTAATTTGGCTTGCATCCTAACCTCAAATCGTACTGAGACACTAAAATACATATTGAACAACAACTCAACTCATTTCATCAACTTCACAGCTTACCGTAAAGGAAGCGCATTTATTTTTATAATATAGCACTCATCAATGACTCAAAGCTTAATAATATAGCACTGCTAACTTCATTATTCAGAGCCTAAGACAAGAACATCAGTCCCATTGTTGATATCCATGGCAAACTTACTATCTTCCGCTGGTTTGGCATCTTTGCACTGTCTTGGTTCAGAGTCCGTAACAGAGGACTTCTCACTTCTGGACTCAGTAGTTGTTCCATGATAAAAACGTCCGTTCGACCAATCATCGCTTTCAGGCTCGGTCGTTGTTGCATTACAAATACGTCGGTTTGACCAATTATCCCTTTCGGGTTCCTTAGTTTTCCATGGTAAATACTTTGGTTCGACCAATCATCACTTTCGGGCTCGGTCATTGTTCAGTGACATAGATGTCGGTTCGACCAATCATCGCTTTTACGCTTGGTTGTTGTTCTATGATAAATACGTTGGTTGGACCAATCATTACTTTCGAGCTCGGCCATTTTTCCATGATAAATACGTCGGTTGGACCAATCATCACTTTCAGGTTCCTTAGTTATTCCATGATAAATGCGTCGGTTCGACTAATCATCCAAATCAAGTTTCTCCTTTCCAGTTTCAGGAGCTTCATGATAAAGACGACGACGAGACCAATCATCTAAATCAAGAGGTCTTTCTTTTTTAGTCTCTGCAGTAATTCCATGATAAGTGGGAGGAAAATGCGGATTGTCAGGAAGAACATTCTTGACAAGTTGGTAATTTTATTCAGCCTCTTGGTTATCAATAAGGCCTTTAATTACTGCAGGCATTGGCTGGCCTTTCATATTGCTCTCCCCATCTTCTAAAAGGTCTTTCCTGCCATCGATGGTGCCTGCAAGCTGCTAAGAGAAACCAAATAGTTAACCTATGTAACAGATTGAGGGCGGCATGGAAGAAAAATACTTGAAATTACTAATTTGCGCGTTTTTTGATTAATTAATAGGTACTTAATTAGGAATCAATAATATGTTATCTATCTATTTAAAAATATAATTAAGACCTCTATCTAGTGTAAGTAATATACAATAAATATTACTTTAAAAATATTTTAAAATTTCTCCGGTGATTCCTACCTAGTGTAAAAGTTTGTATGATTCGAGGGTGTCACAATGCTTATTATTTATAGACAGATCGATGGAAAGAAGTGTAGGGAAAATATGTAATTTACTCTGTAACAATCTTTTATTTTTTCTTTATGAGTAAACCCTCTAAAAATCTCCCATCACAAAGTATCTCTAACCATCCAACAAAATAATAAAATTTAATCAATAAAAACATAATCCTACGTCGCAAAGTGTAATCAGATGTTAATTAGTCAATTAATGGTACGCATCGTGGCATGAAAGCAAGTCGTTAAAGAACAAAACAACTTGGCTGTTTTTTACTCTCTTCTTCCTAAGAGGTACTTTTCTCTCCTCAAAGTAGGATCGAGTTTTCTTGTTCCTATCCGTTTATATATATATATATATATATATATATATATCCTTTATTCATCTAAGGAAACTTTGATCTCATTTTGTTTTCCTTTCTTATTTTACTTGTACATTTTTTCTTTTTTAATTGTCATCGTCACTTATTTTTTATTGGGTTTTTTCTTAACTCGTTGTTGTAAACATTTTACCTCTAAGGAATCCTCTAGGAATAATTAAGATGAATAAGATTACCATGTTATTAATTGTAATTAGTATATTTTTCCTTGTTTTCTTTCTTATTAGCAACTTGGCATTATTGTATTTGTGCACTACTTTCAAAACTTATATCTATATCATTATCTAGAAAGTAATAACCATTTCGTAAAAGTATTTATATTTGCTAATTGAATAGATGCGTTTTTGGTATTGCTTATTTAAAATTTACACTAACATCTAATCCTGCTATATTAAGGGCTCAAAGATCATTGACTAAAGGTTCTTTCACGAAGACAATAGTTATTTTTAGATTGATAGATCCAAACATATATATATATATATATATATATGTCTCTCGTTGAAATTTGTTATCCTCAAGGTGCTGGTTGACAAACTTAGAAGTGTGATAACTATCTTAACTATTATTAAGTTTAACAAAATATATATATATATGGCTTGTTGAAAATTTTATATATATATATATGTCTCTCGTTGAAATTTGTTATCCTCAAGGTGCTGGTTGACAAACTTAGAAGTGTGATAACTATCTTAATTATTATTAAGTTTAACAAAATAATTAATTAATCGTTCTGATTTAAAAAAACTCTATATGATATCCTTATGTTTTATATTTTATAACTTATTGTATCTGTTAAGTATTCGTTAATAATGTGTCAAACTATCACCAACTTAATTATTCTTCTTCTCAAGTTATCCTTCTTAAAATATATTAACCGAAAGAAACTCAATGAATTAGTTATCATAAATGGTCAAAAAACTAAATTATGAATTTTTAAAACTAGAGGAACTAAGTTATTATATCGCTAAATAAACAGGGACTAAAATATTATTTACTCTTAACTTAATGGGGTTTCCTTTAGCAGACTTAAATTTGTAGCTGTTGGCCTGTTACTGTTCTGTTTTGGACTTTTTGGGCCCTGCCGTGTGCCCCAGCTGAAAGGATGAAAAATGAGTGTCTAAACGACGAATCAACCGAAATTCAAAACGTGTAAAGGGTTTCATCCAAAGGCGAACCTTTTTGAAATTCGACTGAATTGTAACTTTTCATCATTACGATCCAAACAGAAGATGTGCAGTCTCCTCCATTATTGATCTGATTTACCGAAAGAGGAAACATTGTGATCCACATCCATGATAAAACGAATTGCGAGAAGATCATGTGTTTCACTAGGGGTTCAATCACATGGGCGCTGTCCGCCCTTTTCTAGGTCACTGAGCTTGCTCAAGAGAAAGAGTAGTCTTATCTCTTTCAATAAAGCTCGAGAGAGAGAGGAGCAAGACACCGCCTGGCTTGAGATCTCAAGGAATCTGAACCTCTGAATACAGATCTCCTTTCCTTAAGATAATGCGGGTTTACTATTTGGCCCGTTTTCTAGCATAAAAATATTGTTTATTAATTATCAGGCTATAAATGAATCGAATCTCAACCGAATCCGACCCAAATTTGATAAATAATTTTTTTTATCCAAATTCAATTATGATTTGAATTCATTAGCCGGTTTATTTAATAGATCAATTCTGGATCACCAATGATATAGATCAATTCCAAATCTATAATGATTAAATCCGAGAATAATTTGATCTGAAATTAAAAATAATATTTTTTAAAACAATAAAAATTTAAATATGAACAAAATATATAAATATAAAACTAAATTCAAATTTAGAGTTTGTTTATTATAAAGTTCAAATAATGCATATCCTTCAACAACGAAGATTGTATTTTAAAAAAAACACATAAATTTTTTTGTCTTTTCTTAATTCAATTTCATGAAAAAAAATATATAAATAGACTTGTATATATTTTCAAGATTTGATATTATTATATTTGTCATCACTCTATTTTTCCTACCATGCGGACAAAAAATAAAGATTGTTTTTTTATTAATTTTATCGTATGTTCTATCTAGTTCTAAAGAAACTTTTATTAAGATTATTTTATTCTGTACTTTTGAATAGTGTGGCATTTTAAATTTTTTACAAAATCCATAAATGAAATATTATCTTGATTATCATAACCCAAAATTTCTCTTTTTTTATGTTGTTATTTTATTTTATTTGACTTTATTTTGGAGTTTACTATTAATAACTAAAAAATAAAAAAGGGAAAATGATTAAAATACAATATATATATAAATATATATAAGATGAAAAAAAATCATGAATCACATACGGGGACACGATCACATCAAAAGAAAATGTAATTGAAGTATTTAAGGACACAGTTGAATCAATTGAGAAACTCGTAACTTGAATTACATATAAGGACCCAATTGATAAAAATCATAATTTACAAAGACTGAAATTACATAGAAAAAGGCACGATTGAGGACCATTGCAATTCACACGGACCGTACCTTTCTTAGGAAATGACGTTTTAAGGTGATCGATATCTTTCCTAAGCATAACCAACTCCTTACTTCGAATCTCTACACCAATGTTATTTTTAAGTTCGTAGTTCCTTTACTCCTATGTGATGACTCCAAACTCAATAATAATTCACATTCTCAAAATAACTCACAAATGAGATGTGAATCTCTAAAAAACCTAAATTTTTTCAAGACTCTAGACCAATATCGAGTAGCGATATTAATATATTTTATTATACATATAATGATTGAAATATATTTTATATTTGAGCAATATATGAAATATAAGTAATCATTATTTTTTTATAAAAATCAAGTGAAAATTTTGATAGAGCTTTGAATTCAATCCGAGTCGGTTAAGATTCAGATCTAATTTTAAATTTTTAAAACTTAAATTGAATTCATAAAATTTAATCCGATTTGTTTCACTGAATAAATTGAATTTCAATCTAATATGATTTGATTTGAATCTAACCTGCTGACAGTCTTATTAATTAGGAATGATAATGAGTTTTGTCAGGCCTGCGTTTTGATGCACTTGCATCCGATTTGAAATACCGACACTCGCAACCTGTCCGCACACCCGCATCCGACCTAATCAAATGGGGTTTTGTGAAGCACAACTTTTACTCAGTGGGTAGACCAGTATCTATCTAAACAAATTTTTTTATAAGTTTTCCAAAAGCATACAAAATTGTACCTTTAAATTTGAGTAAAGCCTCACAAAATTACATCCTAATAAATTAGCATAAAGAATCTCATATAGCCTGTAATCTTATTTTTTCAATTTACATTTAAAATCTTAATACTAAATATGATATAAAAATATAAAATTATATCATTAAACATCACTGTGTTATATACTAATTAATGTATTATCAATGACAGGTATGGTTATATAAATAATTCAATATCTCTTTTATGTTTGGAAATCATGTATATTGTATTTAATTAAGTGTTTCTGATTTTTTTTTTCAAACTGTCTTGCATATACATCAATTACCTAACTTATGTCGTATATCATTTAGTTTGTTTTATATGAAGATATTATATATAATGCTAAAAGACAATTACACACTAATTTTACATATTCTTAATTGATACTAATTAATTATCATATATTCATAATTATAAATTAAACTTTAATTACAAAATAAAGTTAGAAACTTAAATAGTTTTTTTTTGTGTATCTTTTAATTAGAATACACGTAAGACTTAATTATCTTAGCTTTCGATTGTAATAAATCAAGGTAGCTGGCTACTAGTATAAAAAAGATCTTTAAATTTTAAGTTTCAAAACCTTTATAAAAATGCTTTTGAGACAACTAAGGATTCTACGGGGTGACTCAATGTTTTGTCTGCCTTAACTAAAAAATAAGGAAAAAAAAATCAGTAATAGGCCGAGGATGGAAGCTGGTGAAAGCAGAAATCATTATAAATTTGTTACAAAAACAGAAGGTAAATGATGCGGCAAAAATTCTCCATTTTGTTCAACCAGTTTTAATATATTGATCACAAGGAATTAGCAAGGTGATCAGAGAAAGAAGAAATTGCAAGGAGATCTAGATAAATAAAAAAATACGGTGCCCATAATAGTTTCTAACTTGTTTCTCCTAGCTCTGGTATCTTTTTAATTATATACCAACTCCTTGTTGTGATAATCATAACTTCAGTGTGGCCATGGCAATGGAGCTAGGGATAAGATCATAATCAAGCACAACTGGCAAGAGTTGGCAAGCGGCCATGATCAAGTTAACAAGCAGCTGAAGGAGAGAGGCCTCAAAGAGAACAAGCTTTTACTGATGGGGAATTTCATGGATATGCAGGCTTCAAATCTTGGTTTCTTTACCTTGAAAAATCTATAAGTAGGGAAAAGAATGCCAATTCACTTCCCAACAAATGATCCTTCTTTGCTGTCTCACTTCTTGCCTAGAGAAGAGGCTGATGTAATTCCTTTCTCACTTAAGGAACTCCCAAACCTCTTCCAATTTTTCTCGGTCTCTCGAGGTTCTTGCTTAGCCAAATCCCTTGAAGACACTAAACATTGTGAATTTGAACCCATGAAAAGAGAGACCAAGTTTCTGTTCTACCTCTCTAGAATCCATGCTTGAATTTGCCCGTACATTTTCGCATTCGAAACTACTTTAAGCTATAGCAACAAATTACCTCCAGCGGTCCACTACCCGTGAACAGAACTACGCTGTCCTAGAAGGGCCAAAAGAAATGTTCGCTCCAAAGATAGCAGCATGCCATATTTTGCCTCACCTTTCCGCGCAGTTTATTATTGCCAAGCCAAGAGAGTGGAAACAAGGTTCTTGAGGTTACTTTAGAAGGTGAGAATGGAGACAGAGTGGAAGCTGCTTCTGTTTGCCACATGGATACATCTGCCAGGGTCCCTAGGCTGTATTTGTTGCAGAAAAAATAAGTTTGAGCAACTTATTTTTGTTATTTTTTTCTATTTTTTTATATTTATTTCACGTTTAGAACAAAAAAAATCAACGAAATTTGATTTTCAGTCAACGAAATTTGATAAGCTATTTTTGGAAAAGTGTTTTTTGAATTAAAAAAGAGAAAAACATTTTCTTTCTCCGACAAGCTATCTCGCTCTCACGTTACTCACCTACCTCTTAATATATTTTAATAATTTTTTTCTTTATTTTATTTTTATTTAAAATATATGAAATTAATTTTTAATTATTTATTATCAATTATTATCAATTATTTAATTATTTTTTTCTTTCTACTAATATTTGATTTTTCAATTTATAAATACATTAAATATTCTTAAAATCATTTTTAAAACTTAAAATTAATTTTATAATAAATATTTTAATAATTTATCTCTATTTTTTTTACCATTATCCCAAACATTACCCGAACTATATTTAAATAATTGAAAATGATTATTACAAAATTGCAATCATTTATGAAAATTTTGAAACTAATTAATTCATTAATAAATAAATTATTTGCAACTAAATCAATAATTTATAATTAATTTTAATCGAGTAGTAAAATTTTGTTGGTAATTATAATCAATAATTAGTAACAAATTATTTCAATATTAATCTTTTGAAACCAAATGAATAATTATCTACAAATGATAACTAATAATTTGTAAAAATATTTTTTAGACTAAATTATTAGTTCAATTTTCTAAAAAAAAAAAAATTGATTGAGTTACCAAAATAACAATGCTAGGATTACTTAGAATTTTGTTTTTTACTAAATGTGAATATTGACTTGACTTTATCCCGTGTAGTTTTGATAAATTGGTTTAATGGTTAAAAATGTATATTTTATTTTTTGATTTTTTGAATTTAAATCTTAGAGTCGGTATTTATAAAAATTTATTAATTTTTTCTAAATGCATCTTATATTGTGAAATTGTGAATATGTCTTATTGAAATTTCGTCAAAACTCTTTTAAGTAACAATCATAATCTGTTTTTTTATTTAATTTTCCGTATCAAATAAATGCTAGAATATATTTTTCAGCGAGTATTTTTATGTGATTATCAAAAATTAGGAAATATTTTTGGAAAATAATTTTTTTAAAAATAGGTTCTTTAGAATTACTTTTCCTATTAAAAGTTGTTTTCTCGTCAAACAAACGAAACCTAATCACATATCACTTCATCATCTTTGCATAAAGCCCGGAACTTCTCCGGTATGCCATTTCTTCTCTCCAAACAATCTTCGTTGGGTTCCAATATCATCCACCAAGTAATTTCAGCTACTTCTATATGTTTAATCATTACAATCTCTTGAACTATAAATTTAATGGAGCTAGCTAGCATGCTTGTAATGCTACCGCATCCATCCGTAAAGACTCGGTTATTTGTATGAGATCAAATGTCCGATTATGATATGGGGAATAAAATATTTACTAGTGTTGCAAATGTGATGTCATGGCATTAATTTGCTTAGCTCAAAACACTAGTCGTTTAATCTTTGCCATAGGTGAACAAAATGAAGAAATTCTATTTTGCTAGTAAGATTCTAACTTTTGCTAACATAAGTTAATGTATCTTGATTTTAATTGGTGGCATTCCGATTCATGTTGTAACTAGTGTTGGATAAAGTCGAAATGAACTTGAAGAAGAACGAAATATGTAGTGCTTAATTGCTTGCAGAAAATACCCTACACTCGTCCTTAAGGTGATTATTGCCCCACTATAATGCTGCAGGGATTTTAGCAATTCACCTTTAGGATACAATTTTGCACACAAGGAACTGCAGGTAGCACTCTCGAAATTCCTCCAAGAGAATATCTCTTAAAGTTGTAGAGTCTTAGAAGGAAAATACTTTTTTTGAGAGGAGAGGAGGATTGCGAGAGAATGTAATTAATTTCGTCTCGTGCGGTAGTCCCCTATTTATAGACTACCGATACCCTTTCATAACAAACATGATCTGTTGATTCTAACGATCATAATCCAACAGATCATAAGCTGTTAGACTCTAACGTACATAAGCTGTTAGATCCTAACGTACATAACTCGTTAGATTCTAACAGATCATAAGGTTTGAAAGTTCGTTAATAACTAATTAGTCTACGACAAAAATTAAAAATGTAATTAATTAAATAATTACGAATTTAATTACATTAAGAAATAAAAATAAATTTCTTAATCACACACGCGCACGTGCAAAGTGCTAAGTGCTAGTCTTTGATTATTTAAATATATATAATTCCAACCAATTATCCTAGTTTTCCCTCCAATTCCTTCGATCAAATATTTGAAAGTTTTGCTAGAGGCTCACTTTATAAGTCGACTCTTATTTTTATTCCTTTCCAATGTGGGATAAAATCCCACTTGAAAACACTTTCAAATTTCCTTCATAGTACGCTTAACTTATTATCTAACATTCCTAAGATCTCTAACAATCCCCCACTTAGATAATAATGTTAAGTCCTTATAGTATCACGCATAAAGGAAGATGTCTTTCGACTTGAATCTCCTTTTAGTGTAAATATCTCAAAGTCTTAATGGAATAAATGGTATCTTAAGCGATTGAACCAATATCCCTTGTATTAAAACTGAAAATACCACACACGTGATCTAATCCAACTTCTTTTAGAGATTCTCAAATTATCTTTTAGCACTTATATGGCCATGTGCTACATCCTAGATTTTCATAAACATTTCCAAAAGTCGACCCTGAGCTTTTGCCGGGAGCGGCACCACTCTTTATGTTTATATAGGTGAAGTTCCTATTAAGTTCGAATATATTGGTCATATTCCATAACTTAATCCCCATTAAGAGTTTATAACTCATCCTTCAAACTTTAGTAGTACTAGTTAACTTGGAATGGTAACATAAGTGAAATATCCTAGTACTTCCACGACCACTTATCGGTAACTTGTTTTTACCCATTAAACTTTTAACTAGTGTTAATACTAGAGAAAAATTGGGTTTCTATTACTCGGTGACTCTAGGAGAAGGTCTTAAACCCATTCCAATTGAAGTTTTCCTTACTAAATCTTTAGTAAGCCCTTTTGTAAACGGATCCGCCAAGTTGTTACTTGTTCTTACATATAAGATTGTGATAATTCCTTCAAGAATTAATTGTTTGACATATTCATGTCTTAAGCTTATATGTCTAGATTTTCCATTGTATATCTTGCTAAAAGCCCTAGACATAGTAGCTTCACTATCGCGAGTGTAAAGAAATGGTGGCATCGGTTGTGGCCACAACTCTATTTCTAGCAATAAATTCCTTAGCCATTATGCTTCTTTTCTTGCGGCCGCCAGTGCAATAAACTCGGATTCCATAGTAGAATGAGTTATACACGTCCGTTTCTTAGAAGCCCATGAAATAGCTCCTCCACCAAGAGTGAATATCCAACCGGACGTAGACTTGTTATCTCTAGCACTTGTTATCCAACTAGCATCGGTATATCCCTCTAACACCGATGGATAATCCTCATAAGACAGGTCCTCAACTCAAAGTTCTTTTGAGATAACCAAGGACTCTAGAAATTGCTTTCCAATGATCAACACCGAGTCTACTAGTGTATCTTGAAAGCTTACAAACTGCAAAGGAAATGTATGGCCTAGTGCAATGCATTGCATACATTAAGCTACCAATTACACTAGCATACTCGATTTGAGTAATTGCTCTTCCAAAATTTTCCATTAACTTATGTGAATTTTCATATGGGGTGCTTACTTCGTAATTCCCAAATGTTGATTCTTATTTATAATTGTCTCAACATAATGGGATTGACACAAAGCATAACCCCCACTAATTTTCTTTACTTTGATTCCCAAGATAGTATCTACCTCTCCTAGATCTTTCATACTAAACTCGTGAGGATAAGTACTTCTTTGTTTCATTCACACCATCAATATTTGTCCCAAATATAAGCATATCATCCACATATAAGCATACAATAACACTATATTCTTTTGTAAATTTAGAATAAATACACTTATCCGCATTATTATGCTTAAATCCATGAGACAATATAACATAATCAAATTTTTCATGCCATTGTTTTGGTGCTTGTTTCAAACCATATAATCATTTAACTAGTTTGCATACTTTCTTTTCATTTCCAGGTAATACAAACCCTTTAGGTTGTTCCATATATACTTCTTCATCCAAGTCACCATTCAAGAAGGTCGTCTTAACATCCATTTGATGCACAATCGAGTTATGAATGGAAGGCTAGAGCAAATAGTACTCTAATGGATGTTATCCTAGCCATCGGTGCATATGTGTCAAAATAATCAATACCTTCCTTTTGCCTAAATCCTTTGGCTACTAATCTAGCCTTAAAAGTTTGTATTGATCCATCGGTATTATACTTTTTATGAAATACCCATTTACACCCTATAGGTTTTGAACCGGGAGGTAAATCCACTAACACCCAAGTATTATTGGATAATATTGAGTCAATTTCATCATTGATTGCCTCCTTCCAAAATGCTACATCTCTTGATATCATAGCTTCTTTATAGGTTTTAGGATCTTTTTCTATATTTAATAAAATAGGTATTTTATTAAGTATAGATTTTCTATCACCTTCAACTAGGAAGACAATAGGCTGTGGATCAATAAAATCTGAATCCAAGTTCTTTTCTTTTCTAGTCCTTTGACTTCTCCTAGGTTCACTAGGAGTATCATTAGTTTTTCTCTTACCACTTAGATAGTGAACTTGGATCGGTTTGTTTATCTGTTTGTGTAGTAGCATTAGAATCATTGGTAAATTTATGTTCAATAAATTCGACATCCCTAGATTCTACTATCACATTATTTTCTAAATCCAATAACCTATATGCCTTGGAATGTTGAGCATATCTTACAAACACACTTCTTAGAGCTCTTGGTCCTAGCTTGGTTTGTTTGGGATCCGTGACTCTATAGAAGGCTAGACAACCCCAAACTCTAAAATAATTTAGATTTGGTTTTCTTCCTTTCTATAATTCATATGGAGAGACTTTAAATTTCTTAGAAGGTACTCTATTATGCACATGACACGCAGATTAATAATGCTTCACCCCATAAATTATTAGGTAAGTTAGCATTCAAAATCATAGCATTCACCATATCAACTAGTGTTCTATTCTTTCTTTCAGTTTAACCATTTTGTTGTGGGGTATAGGGTGCACTCATTTCGTGTATAATTCCATTAGCCTCACAAAAGGAAGAAAATTCGGTAGAAAAATATTCACCACCCCTATCACTTCTTAAAACTTTAATCTTCTTTTCTCTTTGATTTTCAACTTCGGATTTATAACACATAAACATGTCGAAAGCTTGATCTTTAGTTTTCATTAAGTACACATAAGTGTATCTATAATGATCATCAATGAAAGTAATAAAATACCTATTTCCTCCTCTAGTTAAAATTCCATTTAATTCACATATATCGGAATGAACAAGTTCTAATAGTTCGGAAGATCTTTGAACCGAAGGAAAAGGTTTCTTTGTCATCTTTGATTGTATACAAATTTCACACTTTCCATTACTAGTATCATTGCAAGAGATTAAACCATGTTTTGACATAAATTTAATAGAACCGAAATTAACATGTGCTAATCTACCATGCCATAAATGAAAAGAAGAAGAGTCAACAATATAAGCAGAAACATTCATCTTATTCATAATACCGAGTTTGAACATGCCATCACAAGAGTACCCTTTGCCTACAAAGGCACCATTCTTAGAGAATACAACTTTGTCGGACTCTATCACGACCTTAATCCCCTTCTTACATAACAGATTAGCAGATACAAGATTCTTTCTAATTTCGAAATATACGAACATTGACCGGCATTAACTTCTTTTCGAAGTAAATGATATTTCAACGATGCCCTTGCCAAGAACCTTTGCGGTGTCCTTATTTCCCATCATCACTTCGTAACCTTCAATGGCTTTCTCAAAGGTCTTGAATTGAGCTTTGTCATTGCACACATGGACGGTGGCACCGGAATCATACCACCAATCAAAGGTCTTGGTTGCGGCGGCCATGTTCAATTCCGTGATCATGCCAATGTGCAAGTCGAAATCATTGCAACAATTACATCGGTTTCTTTCTCCACCATATTTGCAGCATTGGCATTCTCTATCCTTTACTTCTTCAAGTATCGACAATCACATTTGAAATGGCCTTTCTTTCTGCAATGATAACAAGACTTATTTGTCTTATTTTTCATTGCATTAGAGCTCAGAAGTCTTGATGTTTTCTTTTCTTTCCTCCGGAACCGCTCTCTTCGGAA